GAGGTCTACCCACCAAAACTCCACTTGCTGAAGCCAGCCAGCTCTTCCTTAGCCCCTTTGTGCCATGGTGGCACCTACCTAGGTCACATCAAGCCACGAGAAAGCTCAGGGCAAGGCCAGCGGTGGGTGAGATCCTGAATACAGATAGCCGTGAAGCTGCTGGTTGGAATCCCGTGTGTTTTCCTCCCTGCCTGCAGAATCCAGTCCCCAGGCTCCTCCAGCGGGTTCTCTGTGTCTCGCAGAGGGCATAGCTTGCCCTTCACTCCCGGCTGATCTCACATCCAATTCCTCATTCCCGTCACTGGGCTGTGAGTCATTCCAGCGGCTGCGCTTTGTCTCTTGGCCAGGCAAGCACACGCTTGGAGATGCGATGCGGAATGAGTCACAGTTCAAAAAGCAGGTGCCTGAGCTGGGGCTGTCACAAATAAATGTGCAGGACTTGAGTCTTCAGACTGCTTTTTGCTGTTATTAACTGCAGCTTGTCATGGGCAAAGCTGGATTTGATGGACAATAGGCCTTTTTCCACCCTCCGTTTAGATTTAAGATGGAGATTATCTGCAGCAAAATGATGTTGTGCTTAAATCCTTCCAAATTAGCTTGCAACTGCCTGACAGATTTTGGGTGCATCATTATCCTTGCTGTGCATGGGTGAGAGAAATAAAGTTCCCCATGCAGGGAAATATTAACAGTTTTTTACTAACCCTCAGCTTTTTTGGGATTGTTCAGCCTAGAAGGGGGCTTTGAGGTGGCCTAATTGCAGCCTTCCAGTATCCGAGGGGAGCCTACAACAAAGATGGAGAGAGACTATTTACAAGGACCTGGAGAGACAGGGCAAGGGGGAATGGCTTCAAACTGAGCGAAAGTAGGTTTAGATTGGATAATAGGAAGGAATTCATGGTTGTGAGGGTGGGTCATCAGGCACTGGCACAGGTTGCCCAGAGCAGCTGTGGCTGCCCCATCCCTGCAAGTGTTCCAGGCCAGGTTGGATGGGGCTTGGAGCAACCTGAGCTAGTGGAAGGTGTCCCTGCCCATGGCATGAGGGTGGAACTAGATGGTCTTTAAGGTCCCTTCCAGCCCAAACCATTCTGTGCTTCTTTTCTGAGCAGACTGACTGGGCAAGGAAGGAGACTTGGAAGTATGTCCTGCTCCCGACTGTCTGTGGTGTATCAGAGAGATTAAAAAATTACTGCAGCATGAGGATCAAGCTCATCCCCATGTTATAAGTGGAATTTTAGGTGTGGGTGTGGCTGAGGTCTGCTGTCACTCGCTGGGGGACAGCGTTGGCTGCCTGTCTGGGGCTCCTTCAGCACCAGTGACACCTGCATAGCAGCTCCTCGTGGTTCTGAATAGAACCAGGAGAGCAGAGAAGAGGAGGATGTGTGACCTTGAGGAATGAAATAAAAATCCCATGGAAAGGGAAAGATTGCGCCCACAGGGACTCACAATGAGGTTTTCTGCTGCATGCTATGGGTTCATTAGTTGGAAAGGGCAGAGAGGAGAAAGGGTCCTGCTTGGGGCTGGACATGAGCTAAATTACCTTCAGAGTCCCTTCAGCTCTGTGGCTGAGAGATGTATAATGAACAACGTCGATTTTTTTTCTATTTTATGATGTGCAGGAGTCTCAGAGTGAGTTTGATACCATTACAGATGCACTGACAGAGCCTGAAATGCCTCTCGGGTCACCTGTGGTTCAGAGCAGCAGATGAGGTGCAGAAAGAGACTGTTGGAGAACAGGAGGAGGTAGCACTTGTGTTCAGAGAACGGATTCAGATGAGCCAAAATGAGGCCAAGATGTACAGTAGGGGAAAGCCCAGGGAGAGAGTTAAGGCACACAAGGGCATCAGATGGATGAATAAATTGAGGTGTGAAAGATTTGAGGTTAAAAGAAAGTTTCTGGTGGCACAGCAGGGAGATCCAGGAGAAGGGAGCCTCTGGAAAGGTCTCACAGAGGTGATGGCACAGGATGAAAGTGTAACCGTGTTTAAAGCAGAGCACTGTACTGCTACACGCAGTCACTGCATTAGTGAAGGGGCAGATTCGATACTATGATATGGATTTTCCAGTCTCCCGTTTCTGTGAGTTGGCTGGAGGGTGGTGAATGTGCTGCTGAGCATCCTCATGGGTTGGAAGGGACGTTAAAGACCATCTAGTCCAACCCCACTGCCATGGGCAGGGACACCTTCTGCTAGACCAGATTGCTCCAAGTCCCATGCAACCTGGCCTGGAACACTTGCAGGGATGGAGCAGCCACAGCTTCTCTGGGCAACCTGTGCCAGTGCCTCACCACCCTCACAGGGAACAATTTCTTCCCAATATCCCACCTATCCTTGCCCTCTGGCAGTGGGAGGCCATTCCCCTTGTCCTGTCACTCCAGGCACTTGTCTCAAGTCCCTCTGCAGCTCTGTTGCAGCCCCTTTAGGCACTGGAAGGTGCTGGAAGGTCTCCTTGGAGCCTTCTCTTCTCCAGGCAGGACACTGCTGGCTCTCCCAGCCTGTCTACAGAGCAGAGGTTCTCCAGTCCGTTGAGCATCTTTGTGGCCATTAATCCAGTGGGAGTTAAAAGCAAATATATTAAGAGTATTAGAAAATAGAATCTCTTTTTGTTCAGTTGCTCTTTCATCCTTCTCTTCCCCCATCACTTCTCTGCATGGTCTTTGCTGCTCACTCCACCCAGCACTGAGGATGAGTATGAAAGCTCTATGCAACTGTCCTCCAGCCTCTGGGATTCAGCAGAACTGTTTTATTAGCAGTAGAATAAATAAGGTTCTTGACTCTCTCCAAAAGAAAATCAACTCTGTGCTTGATTCTTGCTTGCACGAATCCATGGGCTCTTTCTGCAGTTGCCTTCTCTGTGCTCTCTCCATTACCTGTGGTAATTGAGTTGCCTGTGGGATCCAGCACCAGGGTGTGCTTGGTTGCTTGGTGGGAAAAGCATTCTTACAAGTTTGATCCGTTTGTTGGGGGCAGGGAGGTGAAGAAATCTGCTGTCACAAACCAGGCAGACTGCAGCTTCCATCATCCCAGCCCATGGAATACATATTTATCTACCTTGCCCAGACTAACAAATCCTGCTGCAATCATTGCAGTAAATGTGAGATATGGAAACAGTTTTAAGTTTCATTTTGCTTTCTGTCATCTCCTTTTGTCTTTTTTATTGAGCAGCAGTAATTTCACAGCATTGTTTGACTCCTGCTCAGGCTTTTCCAGGGAATTGCCTTGTATTGAGTTTCTGTTGAACATTTAAGTACAGTGGTGCAGTTTGATGCCTGATGGAAAAAGCAATAATTATTTCAGTAATACAAGAGTGGAACCATTCCATACTGAACGGGGAAGCACAAAGCAGTGAGTATATCATGTAAAGAGTGTTTCTCAGCTCTTTTTGCTGCTGTGGAACAAAAGCAGACACTCTCCTGTACCTATAGACCTGCATCCTCATTCTACTGTTGCTGCATCCCACAATAGTGCTGATGCTATGGAATTGTGTGTGGGATCAGGCCTGGCTCAGATGACAATATACTTTAGTTTCTGGGCTAGGCTGTTGCATTTGGCTTTCTAATGACATATTGAAATGAGGTGTTGATCATTCAAATAAAATCTTCATGAAAGTGGGAGGGAGATGTTCAGAGTCACTGCGGGTCAGCAAGGGACCCGGTCCCCTGCTCCTCTAGGGTGGGAGAAAGCTGACTGTCCAGTGTACCATATCATCATAGAATCCTGGAAGGGTTTGGGTTGGGAGGGACCTTACAGACCATCTCATTCCACCCCCTGCCATGGGCAGGGACACTTTCCACTAGACCAGGCTGCTCCAACCCCCATTCAACCTGGCCTGGAACCTTCCAGGGATGGGGCAGACATAGCTGCTCTGGATGACCTGTGCCAGTGCCTCACCAGCCTCACAGGGAGTAATTTCTTCCTAATATCCAATCTTACCCTGCCCTCTCTCAGGGGGAAGCCATTCCCCCTTGTCCTGTCACTCTGTGTCTTTATTCAGGGACCCTCTGCAGGTCTCTTGTGGTTATCAGTTCACACTTTATCTGAAAACTTTATTTCATGTCTGTATTTGCAACGTGAATGTGAACTACTCATAAAGAGGTTTCAATAAAGCATGTTAAGCGTTCTCCACCTTAGGATACAGCAGACCACTGAATCCAGAGCCAGGATCCAGTGTCCTCTGACCTACTGAATCCTCTGTCTTTCAATTTTGAAAAGGACAGTGTGATGCAATAGACTTTTTAAGGCATTTTCAACTCCCAGTCCAACCAGGTACCTAAGAACATAGTCCAGCATGGCCTGGAAGACAATGGAGAATGGATATGACAGAAACGCAATACAAAATTGAGGGAATACAGCTTAAAGCAAACAACCAGAAAATAGAGAATGATTTGGGGGAATCATATCTTAAAATTTCCGAATGGTGTGGGTTGGAAAGATCATCTCATTCTACCTCCTGCCATGAGCATGGACACGTTCCATGAGATCAGGTTGCTCAGGGCCTTATCCAACCTGGCCTTGAACACTTATCTTTATTCTTGGGAAAATGTTCTTTGTGGTGTTAGTGCACAGAGTGCTGTGGAGGTGCTCCATGGAGTTAAAGTCTGGAAATAGAAGTCAAAGCACCAAATTGCTGTGGTCAGACATGCTGCTGATACCGGTGATCCGCTGCTGATGGATTCAACGGGAAAACAACCTCCATCCTGTTGTTTAGCATAAGCTGATCCTTTGTTATTGAATTTAGGGAGAAATACAAGCCTTGTGCAGTGCTTGGCTTTTTAACAGGCTGATTTTTATGAAGTGAATGTGTTTTTTCATGATGACTCTGGGTTTGATTGTTGCTGACATTGGTTTTAGCTTTCCTGGCTGCGTGCTGGAAATCCGCCAAGCGCAGCAACATGGTTCATGCCCTGAAGCTTGTACGAGCTGAAAAAGCTGATGCTGGAGGAAGAGGGAGGGCGGAACACACTGTCTAACATTTGTTTTCTCCTCTTGCTTGCCTCGCTGCAGACTGTACCAAAGCCCATTGCACTGGAGCCCTGCTTTGGGAACAAAGCAGCCGTTCTCTCCGTGTTCGTGAGGTTGCCTCGAGGACTTGGGGGTATTCCACCACCAGGACAGTCAGGTGAGGATTATTGTTGTCTCTCATGGCTTGGTATTAACACCATACTCCTTCCCCAGCCTTACAGATTCAGCTTTCCTGATGCCACAATAGCTGCTGTACCCACACTGCAGCTTGAGGAGTGCTCAGGGCATTTTAGGCTCCTTAGGTTGAGGTTTCAGCCTGAGCTCTGAGTCAATTGATGGATGAACATTGGATGTTTGAATTATGCTATAATTAATGGCCAGAGGGAAAAGAGGGATCTCATAGAGACAGATTTGCAGTAGTTATTTGCAAAAGTAACTTGTCACCCAGCCCATTCCACTTCATTCCCAGCTCCATTTGTAGGGAGACATCAAGTCACAGAATCCTAGAATGCTTTGAGTTGGAAGGAACTGTAAAGATCATCTAGTTCCAACCCCCTACCATGGACAGGGACACCTTTCACTAGCCCAAGTGGCTCCAAGCCCCATCCAACACTTCCTGAAACACTTCAAGGGATGAGGCAGCCACAGCTTCTCTGGGCAACCTGTGTCAGTGCCTCACCACCCTCACAGGGATGAATTTCTTCCCAGTATCCAATCTAACCCTGCGCTCTGGCAGTGGGAAACCATTCCCCCATGTCCTGTCACTACAAGTCTTTTCAGAGCATTCCTG